CCATAGTCAGTCAGTTATGCATTAAAATATGTGAACATTACACTCAGAATGAAGTTTTACCAGTGGAATATTCAAGCACTAGCAAACTAACAGGCTCTTGTTTCATTTAATGGAATAAAGGTAAACAATAAATAAATAAAAATATCTTCTTAAACTACTACTGTCTTACAATGACCCTGTTAGGTACCAGTTATTCACTGAAAGCATTGGAAAAGATATCTGGATCGCCTCCATGTAATCTGGTGGATTTTTTTTTCCCGGAGCCTCACAATCATTTTAGACTGCAATTATTTTAAAGCTTATTAAACAAAGATTGTTAGGTGAGACGTTGGGAATACGGCTTAATTTAGCTTATCTCATTAACAAAGCTGAACTTTAAAGGGAAATGCAAGTATATCCATGCTGTTCGTGTTTATTTTCTTCAGGGAATTTGTGAAAAAGTAGCTACAAAGTTTTCCGAGCCTCCTACTGAGTCTTCATTTCTGTGCATGAAGATATAAGAGGTGTTTGGTTTGATTTTGTGTACTTTTTCAAGTCCAGGGGGTTTCAGGCTTTATTCATGGTTATTGATACAAGGGGAGTGTTTTCAAATGGATTGTGATTATGCTGATGAAATCCATTGGGCAATAGGCTAACGGCTACAAATGAGCAGATTTCATCTCCAATTATTTGAACCGTGGACCACAACGTGGCAACCTCTGATGTCCCTCAGATGTGCTTTTTAGTCCATTCTTGCAAACAAATTGGATAAACATAAAAGAAATGCAATTAAAATGAAAAAAACAAACAAAAAAAAACCCGATTAAAACATACTGCTCAACTCAAAGCATAATGGCTACTTTGCTAATGTCGCATTCAGTCTAATGCACTGCTATTGGGCAAACACAAAAATCTTCTCGGCATGGGGTATGCGCGTGTAATTGATCAAGAGAGGGAATGAGAGAGAGATCTCCCATTCACAAACTCTCTGAGTCACTCCATGCCAGCCTCATATTTACCAAACTCCTTTTCAGTGGGGCTGGTTGTTGTGTAAGCTCGAGGCAGGCAGCTGCATGCAAATGAAGCAGTGTGTCTTTGTACGCCTTTGTTAACGCCAGGTTTTGCAAGATATTTTAAGATCTGGAGCAGTGCTGAGAAAGTCTGCCGGTGCTGTCTGACTCTTAAAACATATAGCATTTCCACAGGTCATGATTTAAAGGTGGTTACGTCTGTAACTCACAGATACACACACACACACACACACACACACACACGCATGTTGTGTTTCCATGTTTTATGGGGACATTCCATAGGCGAAATGGTTTTTATACTGTACAAACTGTATGTGCTATTGCCCTACACCAACCCTACCCCTAAACCTACCCCTTACAGGAAACTTTGTGCATTTTTACTTTCTCAAAAAAACTAATTCTGTATGATTTATAAGCTTGTTTCCTCATGGGGACCTCA